CTAAAAAGATGTGATCTCATTCATTGATTCTCTGAATCAAAGATACTATACCTGTCTCTTATACACATCTAGATGTGTATAAGAGACAGGAAATTCTGGTACCGTCGGATAGAGGAGAAGATTCTCTGTCCAATGATGTGTAACTCGATGATGTCCGGACTAGTAAGAAACCCAAAAGTATATACTGTATCTCGATTTCGGGAAATTCACACCTCAGTTAGGACACTTATGATGCCCCTAAAGTTTCATTGTGGGCAAGGTCACGTGATTTGACCTATATATCCGGACATCATCGAGTTGCATATCACTGAAAAGAGAATTTTTTTTCAAATACTTTAAGTTTCAAGAGAGATATAAGCAGTTGCCTGTCAGAAGGTGAATGTTTTGCCAAATCCCATGAAAATTTCAAATTGCTCTAACTCATCTGAAAAAGCTTGCGTGGAGGCAAAAAAACTTCATTGTGGGGTTATCTCAGGTATAATTAAATGAATTAACTTCAGCAGAAATGTTTGTATTTTTACGCCAGACTGTTGTTTTGTATATTTTTCAGAAATTCCATAGGCTAGCGTGTAAAAAAATAAAATAAAAAAAAATAATAAAAAACAAGTGCCGCTCTGGAATAAGCGCTGAGATGAAGCGCCTTCAACAGTTTTAAAAGCGCCGCGGGGCTTCGAGCATTTACAGTAGTTGCTTCCTTTATAGTTAGCTTTCCTATTAAATATGTAGTTAATGATGTTCTCAAATTTATAAATAATGTTTAGTTGTTAAAATGGTTTAATAATGTAAGTCAACTCAATATGAATAATATAATACATAGAATCAGATATCAAAGAACGTGACTCTGGAATCATGGCACTTATAATACATTTAAAGTAAACTTATCAGACACAAATCATCATCCTCTTTATCAGTATATTAAAATTAGCTGAACTGGTCGCATAACGTATCCACAATGGAAGACAGAGGATTAGGGAATCATTTCTTCCATCTGCCATGAGAAAATTTTATGAAATGTGGCAAAAGTAATTTTTATTGATAGTTTAAAAAAGACTTCCATGTTTTAATATTTCACCTCCTTTTAATTTTAATATGCCATGAGACATTTAAATGAAATTTAAATTGGTTAATTTTATTGCAATTTTAAACCACTTTAGACAAATGCTGCTTTAAATATTTTACCTCTTCCTAATGTATTTTACTATATTAACATGAATTTAAATGAATTCTAACATTTGGTCAATGACTGTTTTCAGTGCAGTCTGTGGATCTTGATTTGAATATTTTAGTAACAATGTAAAGATATTATGCATGTATAATCAACCAAAGTAAAGCTAAAGCTAAAATATAGAATAAAACCAACTTCAGATAATCTTACATGTAATGGACACTGAGAACGTTCCCAGAATGATGGCGACGAAAATCAACATAATGGAAAGCTGTAGTAGGAAAAGAAATGAACAAATCTGATATTGAAAGATTTGATTAAGAGAAATAGAAGATGACAATTATTTTTATGTTGATGATGATGATCATTCTCCTCGTCGTCATCCACATCTTTGTCGTCACCACCATCATCATTCAGGAGTGGCCAGGACCTCGTCGGGGAGAGCTGCCCCCCCCCTGTCTCTTATACACCCCGTCGGGGAGAAAAAGCACAATTCGTCGGGGAGAAATAAAAAATTATGTGTATTTTCTACATATCAGTAGACTTTAAAATCGATTAAATAAACCTTTGAAACCCCTAAATTGTCAAAATTTTCGGGGGCTTCGCCCCCTGGACCACCTTCGGAGCCTTTTAATCGAAGCTTGACCACGCCCACTTTGCTTTCGTCCGGGAAATCTGACCCTTCGTCGGGGGCGTCGGCCCCTCCGTCGGGGACCCCCTCCCCCACCCCTGTCGGGCAAATCCTGGTGCCACCCCTGTCATCATTATCATCATCTTCGTTGTTATATTCATCGTCATCGTATTATTATCATGATTACCATTATCATCATCACATTTGTCTTTATCAAGAACATCATCTTCATCAATATCACTATCATATATATATGGCGAGTTGGATGGCTTAGCGGTTAGTGCAGGGGCGCCGCAACCTATAACCAGGGAATAGTCTACAGCCAAAATATCGGTGCTGGTTCGAACGGCACGCTCGTCTGGTTCTGGTGGTCTTCCCGGATAAGGACTATAAACCGTAGGCCCCAGTGTAGGCAAATTGGCTCCTGTGCACTTAAAAGAACCCAGTACATCTTTCGAGACGAGTAGCCCCCTGTGTACTGGTCCATACAGCCCCTGTTGTCGACAAACGAGAGTAGCTGGTAGGATAATAAACATTTTACCAAGGTTTGGGAAGAACAATCACCATTTTCTGTCGGTGCAAGTGTCTCCAACAAAACACGTGCTGTCCCACGGACGCACGTGCTTGCGTATGCTTTTACACTGTCGTTTTGAGGGAGCCTAGCAACAATATCCAAGAGGCAGGAAATACGTGATGATTGATTAGATTGATTAATCTTATTTTAAATAGCTGTTGACTGTTTCCTGTTGATTTTTATATTTATTTTACTCAATTTTCATGTTTTTATATTTATAACATCAATTATTTTTGTATGAATATATAAGTTGTGTATCTATAACAATATCGATAATAATAATAAAGAATATTATATTATATTGATATTAATTATATAAATTATACAAATGTATAATTTTTTGTCGCTGATAAATATTATTTCAAATTTTGTACTCAACTATGTTTTATGTAATAGCTAATAATATTTTGTATGTATGTTTTAATATATTTTTTATGCTCTACCAATTTCAAACGTATTTCTGAAGAAAGTGTATCAGCATCAGTAAGGAGACCATTATATTGTTGTTATTAGTTTAACATAGAACAACATTGAAGCCAAAGAATAGATGATTCGACAAAAATGAAACATATCTTGCTTTATATTCTGTACGGATATAAAATCTAGAAAAAAAATAGTTTAAAAATTTAATTTAATTAAATCTTGTTAGGAAGACTTATAATATGGTGTTTTTTAAAGTAGGACCAATTAATCTTTAATAACGGTTTAATTCAAGATGGAAGGTTAGCGCGTCGGCACACGAAACGTTGGTTGTTTTTATATGTGCACGCTAAGGACGAAGCAGTATAGTTTATACATCGCTGTGGACACATTTGCGTCACCGTAACCAGAAGACGAAAGGATAATATTACGTCACACCAGATTGCGCATGCATACTCCCTCGGCTTGTTATTGTCGTTCGTAAATAAAATTTCAAATATGACGAGCCACCACTATAGGAATGACCTATAGGCCTACCGTTTGCTTACTCTCAAGTTACCTACCAGGGTTGGCTCTGCACATGTTTTTATAACCGCTCTTTTTTACGTATCAAATATAGGACTACCATGGAACTATAAAACGTAGCGTACAAAATATAATTTTGTTACATAAAAAGCGGATAATGTAGGCCTACATGGAGAACTTATTATGCACCATTTAGACGTAAATATAAATAGAAATATACAGATTAATAATTTTATATAGGCCTAATAAGATCTATCAGAATTTACAAAAAATAAAAAGTAAGGATTGGAAATGTCAGATACAACATTCGTCTTCCAGATCCCACACAAAATCTATGTTTATCCAATGTATTATACTATAAACTGTAGCGGAGAACTGGTCCAAGTCAAATATATAGATCATAATGTGAAATGTTAAAAAAATTGACAAATACCTTCACAGCCTTGCACCAAATACGTAAATACGTGGACGTAACTTGTTAAGTTGACTCTTCGCTCAAAGTTGTGTGACTCTAACTAAAGGTGTACATAGGCATATATAGAGGTATAAATTGGTAGTAATTAGAATAACTACTTAATTTATCTAAATTTGCAATGTTAATAATAATAATATGAAAGCAGATGTTCAATTTCTCGTAAAATGAGTAGATACTCTTAATTAATCTCAGGCTATTTAAAATGTTTATTACCTACGGAACACTGATAGGCATTATTAATAGGGAATTAAACACTTAAGGACACTGGGCTATATTTAACTTTGTTAAATTAATTAATTAAAATAATACATTTTTTTTCAACAAATAAACAAATTAGTAGATGTTAACTTATACGCTAACTTTCGTCTTGTTGTCAACAATACTTCATCAGGCTGAATGAGCTGGACGTTTCGATGTTTGTGAAACGTAGTTACAAAACCAGAAACTATTCGATAATATAATACATTTATTTTAATAGCCAATATAAAAAAGACTAAATTTTATCAGCTATAACTAGGCCTAATTAGTTAAAACGGCCTATATAAGTTATAATTATATACAGTTCAGTCGTCTAATCTTCTCTGGGTTACTGTGTGAGTGTGGAGATCCGTTCAAACATTAGGTTCTAGTTTAAAATGGGCTTATTAAGGTCATAGTAATGCGTCGTTTTTCGAAAAAAGACGTCTGTGGGTTGTATTTTGATGTATTTGCACTGAAGAAATCCACTCCAATACAAATCATTCTATTATGCAACACCATAGGTAAAAATTAATTAGGTTACACTCGAAACACTCACTTTAGCATTTATGGTATTAAATTAATCATGTGAATAATGGTCAAAACAATATAACGAAATGCAGGTTTAATATAGGCCTATGATATAAACTATCAAAAAATCCGGATGGCAGAACCTGAAAATAAAGAAAAGACTGGCCATCATACCATGTACCAAAGTATACTTATCAGGATATGACCATTATTAGGATACATAATTCTAAGCTTCAAGTTCGATACCTAATAATTATTATTCATGAATCAATAATCTTGGACGAAATATTTCAATTATTTCTCAAATTTGCATTTATATTAAAAAAATAAATGCGTACATTCTTATACTACTGCTAATTTACACTATTATTAATAGAAACTGTTTAAATATCACATATTTAGTTGTTTAATTAATTTTTGCTATTGCGTGAGAATGTGCCACATGATGCATTGATTTAAAGATAAAATTTTAATAGCTCAATTATTAATAATAATATAATTATTGTTATTATACATAATTTAATTATTGAACCGATAAAACATTTTATATGAAAAATTATGAGGTGTAACTGTAACAGGACGTGTTTGTAAACTATTAGGAATTTCATAAGCTAGACAATATTAATTAATGTCTGAATTTTCAATAGGCCTAACACAAAATTCAAGCAATTTTTTATGGCTGAGCACTGAAAAGTAAGTAAGTTTTGTATGCACTTTAAGGTTCAGAAAATTTAACTTCAAAAATGGTATTGGATTAGTAACACATTTTTTAAATGTGCCAAAAGGCCTAAAAGGCTAGGGTCAAAGGTGATTACTTGGTTCACCTGGTTTACATAGCTATATAGTCATGATATCTCCGCAACGACAGGTGGTAGAGAGTTAATTTTGGTGCCAATGTTTTCGGAAATTTCTTGTTTCTATTCGTGTCCCTTTAATAGAAAGTTTTTTTTTGACAAAATGACTGGAAAGACTGTTTCCGACCTTTGACACGTTTTAATGTCATAGCCAAAGGATCCTTATATCTCCACAACCACTGGTGGTAGACATATAATTATAGTGTCAATTTGTTCAAAATATTCATGTTTATTAATGCAAAGATGACACAACAGTAAAATATTATTTATATTATACATTGTTGAATTTATTTGCCGATAAAAATTAAGGCCAAAGGATTTTTGTGTTGCTTAAGTTAAACTATAAGTCTCCGTGTGTTTCCCAAGTTTTGGTCAATTAAAAATTAATTTGGAGTTAAGTATTAGATATAATACCTGCACCCTCTATGTTTACATTTATGAGTTTATAGTATAATATCGATAAACAAACATGTTAAAAATACCCACCAAAATGAGCTTATAAGTGTGCCCAGTTTTATTTGGCGAGTCGAATGGACGAGTGATTAGCTGGGGCGCTGCAAGCTATAGCCATAATAGCGGCGCTGGTTCGAACGGCACGCTCGTCTATGGGTCTGGTGGCAGAACCATGGTAGAACAAGTCTTCTCGGATAAGGAATATAAACCGTAGGCCCAGTGTATACAATGGCTCGTGTGCACTATAACGAACCCAGTACATCCTTCGAGGCAAGTAGGGGGATGCCCCGGTGTACTGGAACATACAGCCCCTGTGGTGGACGACGAGAGTTGCTGGTACCGGGTTACAGGTTAGCACAGACACGAAGGGACCCTTAGGGGCGAAGAAAGTCATTGATTGAGTTCCTAGTCCACATATCAAGCGCCCTGAGCATCTTACATTAGATGGATATGTGCGCTATATACAACTACACTATTACTACTTCTACTACTACTATTTTATAATAATAGTAATAGTCTATATTATAATTTGGCATATTTTAAAGTGTGAAATCCTAACAGACAACCGACCTAAATAAATGTTTCGGATTCGAAAGCTACAGTTATGAAAAACTGTGACGACATATATTGATGATGAAAGTCCCGATCGCGCGAAGTGATATCAATTCATAATTCAAAATATTTGTAGGAAAATAATGCATTTTTAGAGAAGATTTTCATATGTCTTTTACTGGACCAAAATGGTGTTTACGTATTTCTGCATTCCGTAGCTCTGTCTCAGTTGTATTTGTAGTTTTATATGGAATGCCAAAATGGCAACATTCTGCGATTTTAAATGAAACACCATAGGCCAAAATTCAAACACAGTCGATTTTTAAGCACACTCGGGTCTCCGAGACAGGCACAGTCAATTTACAAACACAGTACCACCTAAAACGCTTTCCAAGAAACATTATGTAGAGAATACAAGATATTTCCCTATACCAATCAACACTAATGCTATTTCATCTCTTTTTAGTGTCTCCTCATTATTTTTATGTTATGAAAAATGACATAAAACTGCTTTCAAAACCATATAACCTGTCTTATTTTAGTGGTCGTATTGTTTTTTTGTTTTTTTTTTAAATCGAAACGTTCACATACTAGAGGGTAAGGGAGCGAAGTGAACGACCTCTGTAGTAACAATAGTATGCGCATTAATCAGTTGTTTACATATATACATCTGGGATGTTCCTCTTCAAATCCTCATATTCACATCATAATCTAGATAGTCACAAAACACAAAAAAATGTAGTCAATGTTTCCTTGGACCAAGACATTAATCAGTTTTTGACATATTAATTTAGGTATGGGATGTTTCTTTTTGTTTCTTTTTAAATAATATCCAAATGCACAGCCTACTCCGGATAACCACCAAAATTTCAAATAATTTTTCCTTGGCCATGACAAACCCTTCAAGATAGGTAAATTCAGATCCATTTAACAGTTTTGACATACCTAAGTCTGGGACCAGGGTGGCGCCAAAATTTGCCCGACGGGGAGGGGGGGAAAGGTCCCCGATAGGGGCCGATGTCCCCAACGAGGGGTCAGATTTCCCCGACGAAAGCAAAGTGGGCGTGGTCGAGCTTCTATTATAAGGTTTCAAAATTGGTCCAGGGGGCGAAGCCCCCGAAAAGTTTGACAATTTAGGAATTTCAAAGGCTTATTTAATTGATTTTAGAGTCTACTAAATATGTAGAAAACATTTTAAATTTATTGTGGAACAACATATTATAGTGTAGGCCCTGAGGTGTACCATTCGTTTGGAGCTTTTGACTTCGGTTTGTTCATCTTATCCTTTAGCTTTTCTTTCATTTCTGGTTTTAATTAGATCTTTTTCCTCTTTAACGTTCCATTTATGGTTAACAATTTTGCGAAAAATTAACATGGGGTAAAAATAAAATCAACTTGTCAAATTAGAACAAGGAGGTATAAAAATAAATGTCAAATAAAGTAAAATAATTATTTTTATACCTCTTTTAACAGAAGATGAGACGATAAGGAGGAAAGCATCTAACAATTCACGCGATGTGCGGTGACCTGTATAATAACTATTTAATATACAATCGTTGATTGGTTGAATTCATTTTGTGCATATATAACAGTCACTAATTTATCACGATAAACTTCCAAGAGCATGTTAATTATCGTGCTGCAGAAGATTACGTTAGCAAGGATTAACGTGATCTTGATAGACCATGTTATTTGCATCCTGCAGGTTCACGTCGAAGATCATGATATCGAAGATCAAGTTAAATATTGAGTGTGAACCCCGCTAATGTTTTCCCCGCCTTTAGATCGCGCGAGGGCGTATTACCTTATTAACTTTTTTCATTAGCAATAACTTAGCAACGGCATGCTTTTATACGTTTCAAACACGTCAGTTGTGCGATAAACCGTTTGATTTTAACTCATTATAATATCTGTAAAATTAACATTGTTCCCCTGATTAGATTTTCGGAGTTTTAGTAGGCCTATGTTATGCGTATATTTCCAGTGGTGTAACGCCTATGAGCTCTCATGCGGCGGTCCGCAGGGCCTTGATTCTTAGGGGCCCCGGCCTCTACCCACAGGGTCCTCGAACAGAAAAAAGCTTTGTTGATGATACATAACAGAATAATGTGTCTCTGACATCGACTGTACGACATATATTGCATTATATCAAGTGACGGATTAAGGGCCCACAAATTTGTTAAAAAGGAAATAATGATAAAAAGAAAAAAAAAACTTAGGCCTATTTTCAAATATTAAGTATGTGCGTGCCAGATCGACCCATCTAGTGGTACCATTGTAATTTTTTTCCCTCAGCCCGCGATGGGGCTGAGATGGTATAGACCCTTCATCTGCGAAAGCCCCTCCCTCTATTTCAAATTCTTACTAGATCCGCCACTAATATTAGAAGTGGTTGGCGCATCTGGTTGAGGCTTGTACTCCTAACCTCGAGGTCGGGGTTCGAAAATCTCGCTGTGCAAATCGATTGTGACCTTGGCCAAGGCACTTTATCTACGGTTGCCTCTCTCCACCCAGGAGTACAAGTGGGTACCTCGTAGGTTCCAACACTGCAGTAAGAAAAAAAGACTAACTACTCTTATGTTCACATCATTGAGAAAGATTTATTTGACTTTTATTTGCTCATGGATGAGCAACTATTATACTGCATATTGCTGATTAGTAGCCGCAATATTATGGGGATATAATTTAATTTAATAATTTCATTTAGTGTTCAATTTGTTCCATATGTGTTTGATCCAATGACCGGGGTAATAATGTGAAGCGCTTAGAGGCTTTGTTAAGGCATTAAGCGCTATATAAGAACGACATATTATTATTATATTATAACTGGTTTTTTTCATCGTAAAACAAATTATACAATGACAAACTGACAAAGATGATTTAAAAAAAAACATATATACAAATATAAATATATATATATATATATATATAAATATATATATATTTGTGTTTGTGTTTGTTACACGAAAAGGTCAATATTTGCAAGTGACACACAAGTACATCAAACAACTGAAGATGCAGTAAGAAAAAAAGACTAACTACTCTTATGTTCACATCATTGAGAAAGATTTATTTGACTTTTATTTGCTTATGGATGAGCAACTATTATACTGCATATTGCTGATAAACTCTCGTAAAATTATAAGGTGACATTTTTATAACGTGCCACTACATTATTTAAAGAAAATATGAAGTGAAAAAAATAGAAGAAATGCAAAGAATTCTAATTATTACACCATTTAGTTAATTATAAATAACTGTGAAAAAATGAAGAACTAAAAACATTTTAGTCCTATTATACTGATTTATAATATTGTACTGAACTGCCAAGCAAAAATGATGGCGTCATTATTCATGGATTTTATGGTTGGGTATATAAATACAAGAGAATATCAACGGCCATACATTACATCCATCTTACAAACCTGTAAAATATAAAATAGTAAGTAGGCCTATTAGTCTTTATCAGAACCTGATCTGGAAAAAGCACAAATGGCATTTAGAGTGAACGGGGTTGTAACTTCAGAATACGACAATATACTTCGTATTAATGTTGTACTGAATAGTTTTTACATATTTGATAATGTTTAGGGGAAATAAGATAACAAATTTGCATTATTAGGGAAAGTGTGGGCATACGTCAAAATAAATAAATTACTATGATGTGAAAGTCTACTAGTAATGATGGAAAGATATAGCAGATGAAAGTTGTGAATCATTGTGTTTTTTATGAATGGAATTAGATTGACTGAAATACCGTTAAATTTAAAACGAGTTCCATGTGCTTTTTAATATTTAGGACCACTGAGCTACTTTTTGAGATTACATAAACTGAATAGATATGGGTTCTTTTCAAATTAACTTCTGTAAATATTTACTGCTTAAAAACAATAAGACTAGTAAACTCGTCTTTAATCATAGCAGTAACATTATTTGTCTAATTATAATTATCACTAAAAATATGCTGATGAACTCTTAATTGTTTCTCAAGAAGGTGATGAATGAAGCACAATTCAAAAGACAATAAAATAACTAACAAAATTTCCCTAATCATCGTCATAGGTGGTGACCGACAGATACAATTGGGGTTATTAACATTTGGAGAGATTTTCTTTATATTTGTACTATCAAACATCACAATTCATTCATCCATTCATATATTAATTCATCTATTCATAACGAAATAATTATATATTCATACCTATAGTCCCCACACCTCGACCTCACAAAGCGTCAGGATGCTGTCCTTGAGTGCGACACTGACGTATCGTCCATTAAGTACAGGATTGCACTGTCGATCTATCACTGACCCGGCTTTGGTGTCTGCATCGGTTATTGGCTCTCCACATTGAGCATTAGTCAGCATACCCTTAGCGTCATCTCCAACATGAATGGTAGCGTCATTCAATCGTTCCCGGCAGCAATCTTAAGAAAAATGTAAATATATCAAATTTGTACATTATCTTTAAATAAATACTTCCAAACAATTCCTTTGCAAAATGTAATATTGTTTTGCATAGTCATAGTTATTAAAGGCTATTAGCAAACGATGCATCACATAAGCATTGTTTAAATAATTAATTCTAATTTGGTATTCTCCTATATCCTCGTATGTGGACTGAATCTTATATATTCGGTATGAACACCAACGGCTTTTCTTTTTCTGCAGAGTGGAGTTATCTATTAGTGATTGGGTGTACAGTAGATCGCAAGAAATTCTTTTCCGAAGATTGTACTGCGTTTTTGAAAGTCATGCACTTAGGCCATACGGGACCAAAAGTCTTTTCATAAGATGATGAATGTGCTTTCAATATATATACTTGTATTTCGGCCCACAAACTTGTCGAAAGCGGTTTGGGGCAGCGGGGTTTCAATCCTTCTTAGCTGTGCACTTCGAGGAAGACAATTTATCTAAAGATTAAAAGTGGTACCTGATAGGGTACCTGTGCCAATATGGCAGCATGTAGGCATGTGAACTTATGGAAGGACAATGTATAATACCAAAATAATAATAAACTAGTGAACGTAATTCTCCCCTGTATAAAATACCCACGCTTCTTTTTTTTTTGTATTTCGGGAAAAAAAAAATTTAGGAATGAATACAGAATCTCAACCTCTACCAAGATATAAACTGAGTCTGTCGCTTACAAAGAATTAAGTCATTGAAAGCCTTTAGTTATTGTTCCTTGGACGGACCATAATAAATAATTCTAGAAAGTTTCATTTAGATTCATTGATTCATTGATCAGTTTTTAAGATTTTAAGGTCTTGGATGTTCGACTCCACATCCACACCCTACTCTGGTACGTCACCAGAACGTGATGACCATTTAAGAGTATTTTTTTTTCAGATACACTTATTATTATTATTTAAGATAGATATGTCTATTCAAACGGTCCTCATCATGCTTCAGTTCGTCACAAAAACTTAATGATTTCTTTCTTGGAACATGACAATCAATCTAAAAAAACTTATTCAGATCAATGATGAGTATGTTTTTGAGATATTTCGGTCTGGGATTTTAGCATTTTAAATGACCCATACACCAGGATCTAGATAGTTATATATATCTGGTCAAGGACGTGTCTCTTTAAATGGTCATCAACTTCGGATCGTCAGGTATCAAAATGTAATCATGTCTTCATTCTGGAAAATTTCATTCGCATCCATTGCTTAATTGTTAAGAACAGTTTGTCTGGATGTTAAAACATTTTAAATAACCCCTCCAAATGCACATCCAAATCTGAATCGTTTCCAAAGTTTAATGTCTTCCTTGTAAATAGGTTAACACATCGGATCGTCACTAAATTACAAATGAACCTTCCATTTATTGTTAATAATTATCTGCAAAAATCTGACGTATATAGACCTGAAATATAGGCCAAAATCTGCTAACAACCATACGTACACACACAAAAACAGAAAATTCGACGAAAATATAAGCTCTGAACGCAGGAGAGAGCAGCAAATGAGATCACTGAGCAATGGACCTCCATGGTATTATTGCTAGCAATGTATTATTATATCTGTCATTTTTTTGTGTTCATATACTGTACCTGCTCGATTGAAAATTCTCACATGTCCAACGCTGTAAGTCCTTCCTAGATCCACCTGCCACCAATTGTCACCTTTTCCGCCTAGATGGAAGAAAGAATAAATATTAGGCCTATTATCATTTATTATTATAATCATTATTATTATTATTGTTGTTGTTGCTGTTGCTGTTATTGTTACCGTATTGTTGTTGTTATTATTATTATTATTATTATTACTATTATTATTATTATTATTTTTTTTTTCTTTTTTCTTGCATATATTTTTCCTATCTTTTTTGCACAGTTTTTTTCTGACCGTCACTTTTGGTCACTTCCCATGCTTAGAATTTGTCGGTGCTTTGCCGAAGCATAGACCATATATCAAGGATGTGCCTCCTAATATTTAGTGTCAATCTATGGTGGGGTGTGCGTGTGAGGACCAATTAAAATGATTTAAGGTCAAATTTTTTTTGGTGAGGTTCCGGAGTAGGGTGTAGATCTGAGGACCATTGAAAGGAAAACACCCCAGACCACATATTTCGAAAACAGATCAACTGATCGAAATGGAACATTCGGAAAAAAAGTTTAACCAAGTTAAAAAGAAGATAGTATTATATGTAGGGGACGGTCCAGGTTAGGGTGTAAATTTGAGGGTCATTTAAATTGCTTACGTCCCAGTTATAGATGGATAAAAATGACACTTTGCAGAAAATCATGGTGAAATGTAGAGATGGTCCGATTTTGGTGAGGATCCGCAGTAGGTTGTGGATATGAGGCCCATTTAAAGATTTTTTTGTTGACAGTTGCTAAAAATATTTAAACGCAATTTGCGTTTTCTAAAGCGCTTAAACCAGTTACAGCTAGGTTAAACTCAAAACTACCGTGACTCTGTTTTCTTTTTTTTTCTTCTTTTTTATTTGCGTTTGTTCTGCCTTTTTCTACAATTTTTTTTTCAAAACAAATTTCTGCGTTCTCCTGAACAATGACAATAAATATGATTGAGATTGAGATTGAGATATGCATGAACAATTTTTGCTTTCAGTCATCGAATCACTATGAACTGAAAATGCACTTTCCTATCCAAGGTCGGCTCATATGGCGCGCAATGGTTATGAGTCACGATGTACCTCGCTATTACCATTGCAGTCATAGTTCAAGTCTCACTAATAACGTCGCAGTGAACTTGATTTTCGTTTTTTTTAAATTCCACTTCATTAAAATTATATTGGTTTTCCATGTTTTTTTCTTTTACATTATACGGTACCTTTTAACGACTTTTCTTTTTGCTGCAGTTTCAACTTGATTTCTCATTAAAGCAATGGGGAAAATACTTATGTTCTGTTGTTCAAACAGACATAGTAAGACGTTATTATTATTATTATTATTATTATTGTCATGCGGAGGTTAGTGTATTTGTAGTTCATCTACCTTGTGTAATCTCTAAGTTGAGGGCAAAAAGTGTTAATGCATGTCACTGTTAAACCTGCTGTTGCTAGAAAACGCAAATTTCGGTAACATAACAGTTTAATTATCTGTTTAATAATATTCAAATTATGTCAAATGACGTCATAATCAAATATGCATATATTTGGTATAATTATGGTTTTTTTTTCTTGGATAAGGTTTGAGAAGACCCAAGAACAAAAGTACAATCGGTAAAACCCTGAACATCAAGATAGGAAAAAGGGGTGGAAGAAGAAAAGAGTCAGAACAAAAGTGTATTACAGTAAAATGCATAAACAAGTAGATAGACTGGATCGTGACAAAGTGGGGATCTAAGGTGCAAATCCTTCTCTTTGGTTTCCTATTTATTTTACAGGTTTTAGACGATCGGCACATTCTTCACCTTTTGTGCTCGAACCTTCTTCAAATTTTTTTCCAATCAGAGATATGCATATTATAATATGACATCTTTTTACATATTTTGAATATACGTGCAATTTGCGTTTACCAAAGCATTTTAAACTACCTACAGTTATTTCAAATTGAAATTACTATGAAATGAATGAACACTTTTCGTCCTAGCCTTATAACATTACTCAAGTTTTACAAGATAAAAATGAATTAACCTCTGCAGGGTTGGGTTGTACCCAATGGTAAGAACTGTGAACATACTTTCAGTTTTGGTTGCCATTTTAATTTTTTTATTACTTCATAATTATCTTTATTAATTTTACTTTTTGTAGGTTTTTTTTTTTGTAAATTGAACAACTTCTGTTTTGAAATCGGATATAATAAGTCTAGTTATTATTCTTATTGTTAATTATTATTAATATTCGTGGTCTAGTAAAAGTATCCGTAGCATCATTATGGGCATACACGTTTTTATTTAAGCTATAAATGAGTGTGTGCACTTACTTGTGTGTGTGCAGGAATTTTGGTTGAAGTTGATAGCACTTCTGCCATCAACCGCTCTTCCTGGGTATCCACCCCATGTAATGGAACTCTGGCGGGTAGAACGTCTTTCACTTAACAACCCTTTGAAAATGAAAGCGATTGTACCATATGACAGATTATACTTAGATATTCTCTTTATCCTAAAGAATTTACCAATTTCGTAAAATGTGAGGACTAATTTAGCATACTAAGTTACATAATTAACAAACATAACATCCTAAACATGTCCATTACAATGGCCTGGCGCTAAACCTGGATGAAGCGATGCACATGCTATGTTATCAAACATCTAGTTGAGAGCGTCTACGTAACGAGCGCGCAAGAGATTCCTAATTTTTTAAATGGTAATTATTATATAGGCCTAATTGAGTATGTTATAAGTTTTCAAATTATATAAAATTTATAACTTTCTCCTTTAAGTATTTTAACACACACACACACACACATGTGGATTAAAGTTATTGACATTAAGTTTTACTATCAAATACAGTATTACCATTCATTCATTTGTTTATTATTTCATTCATTCCTTCATATATACATTCGTCCATTCATTTTTGATAAAATAATTATATATCCATACTTAGTGAAAACACCTCGACCTCGCACAGCGACAGGTAGTTGTTCGGGAGCGAAACACTGACGTATCGTCCATTAAGTACAGGACTGCACTGTCGATCTATCACTGACCCGGCGCTGGTGTCTGCATCGGCTATTGACTCTCCACATTGGGCATTAGTCAGCATACCCTTAACATCATCTCCAACATGAATGGTAGCGCCATTCAATCGTTCCCGGCAGCAATCTTAAGAAAAAAGTAAATGTATCAAATTTGTACATTACCTTTCAATAAATAATTCCCAAAAATTCGTTTTGCAAAATGTGCAATGTAAAGCCTACTAACTAAGGTTGTATACCTTAATAATTTATTCTGGGAACTTGTCTATGTCCTCTACGGTATGAACATCAAAGGTAGCCAACGAAAGTTTGACAATTTATTTCCTGTGGATTCCTGTGGTGTTGAATTGGCAATACACCGGAACAAATTTATTTCACAATAGTGTACTGTGTTCGTTAACCTGCACATTTAATGTAATCTATATGGAATAATAAAGAGGGGAAGACCAAGAGGAAGATGGAGAGATGAGGTGATAGAAAGTGGCATTGACTCTCTTTGTGTTTCAGCCGGAGTGCCGATATACCAGTAGAATATTATAAAAAATGCACGATTTTTTGAAGCCATGACTATCTCTCCATCTCTCTCTCTCTGTCTTCCTCTCTTTCTTATTCCATATAGAGGATTTTGCAATTCTGTGAATTGTTTCCTTTCCTTTGAATTCTTTTGTTCAGTGTCCAGATGGTACTGTCGTCAGTCATGGCCTGTGAGTTTCTAATTGAGTTTCTTTTTGTTATAGCAAATTATATCTTTAAAATTAATAATGTGGTCGTGTTCACATACCTGCTCGATTGTAAATTCTAACTTTTCCAATCGCGTAGGAATTTCCAAGATCCACCATCCACCAATTCTCAGCTTGTTTCTCTGGATGCAAGGAATATTATTATTATTATTATTATTATATTATTATTATTATTATTATTATTATTATTATTATTATTATCATTATTATTATTAGTGTTGTTGTACCAGCTAATTATTATCAACATTGTTGATTTAGTGAAACCAAATAAAATAAATAAATAAATAGAAAATGAATACATTACTAAAAGCATACAAATTATTATTATTATTATTAATATTATTATTATTATTATTATTATTATTATTATCATTATTATTATTAGTGTTATTGTACCAGCTAATTATTATCAACATTGTTGATTTAGTGGAACCAAATAAAATAAATAAATAAATAGAAAATGAATACATTACTAAAAGCATACAAATCTCTTAAAAATTGTGGATCGCTTAAAATTTGTGTGAGCACTTACGAGTGTGTGTACATGTACGATAGCCGTAGTGAGTAGCTTTAAAGCCATCAACTCCTTTTTCTGGATCTCCACCCCATCCAACAGAACTCTGCGTGGCAATACGTCCTTCACTCACTAACTCTGTAAAAATGGCAGAGATTGTACCATTACCGATTTTACTCATGAACACACACATAGCCTACATCTATACTATATATATATATATATATATATATATATATGTATGTATGTATGTATATATATATGTATATATATATATGTATGTATATATGTGTGTGTGGGTGTATATATATATATATATATATATATATATATATATGATATTAAAAGAAGTTAGCCGTTGACACTGTGGAATAAATATAATATAAATCATCAAAGGTGCATGTGTTTAATAAGGACATAATAGAAAATCGTAGGCTACCCTGTAAAAAAGTCATTGTGTAATAAAATTCCTCCGACGGGATTCGAACTTGCGACCTCTCGCTGACAAGGCGAACGTCATAACCACTAGTCCACGAAGGCTTCATGGTTAAACAGGTCTAAATAACCGTCGGGAACATTGTATTACACAATGCTAGGCCTCAAGTGGGCGTTCGGCCAGATAAATCTGGCAATACCTCTAGAAATACTGTCGTATATTGTATATGATATTGAAGGAAGTTAGCCGTTAACACTGTTGAATAAATATAATATAAATCATCAAAGGTACATATACAGTGTTTAATAAGGACATATATATATATATATATGTATATGTATATTATATATAGGTAGGCCTATAATATGTATATATAATTATATATATAATATGTATATATAAGTATATATATATGTATATATATATACATATATACATATATATATATATATATATATGTGTGTGTGTCTGTGTGTGTGTGTGTGTGTATAGTGATTAATAGTACCGCCGTTTCCCAAATTAATACAATCAAAAAGACATTATTTTTAAATCATTGTAAGTCAGTTGCGTGTGCAAAAAGCTTAAAGCGTGGGTGATTTTACTACAGTACACCGCCATTTCATATTTCGTTGCTAGACAAGCTATGACCCACACTCAGCAAATCTAACAAACCTAGCTATTCTCTACGACGCTGGTTAATACGAATGAAGCATAGATCGTCTCAGGCAAGGCCTAGAAAGGCATATTGGCTATGAGTGATTAAGAACTGACCTAATAACGCAACGCTGAAATATATCACAATGTTTACAATATATTTTAATTTATTAAACAAATGTCTATCAAGAGGTAAGGCCTACTTAATAACCCCTAATAAACTTCATTAAACCACTATCAATTTATTCAAATTCTTGTATCGAGCCTTGCGAAGAGTGTTAGTGCATGTACATTAAACATCACTCTAATGCCCGCAATGAATGCACAATCACAACAACCACTAAGCAACCAGAAGTTTATATAAAGGCCATAGAAAAGGTGATAGACGTCACAACTGACTTTTAAAGTTATTATAGTAAAGTGATTTCGCACACTATAGGAAATAAAAGAATTCCATTATTTTCTTCAAAAAATACCTTCAGTCCTGCAGGCTTCATGTAATTTTTTAAAGGAAAATATTGGCTTCTTTTCCTATAGTGTACTAAAAACCTGACTTACTACAGAGTTCAGTGTTCACCATACGCCGCCGTTAATTATGATAGTTGTCGTTGTATTGTTATTTTCCTTATCTATATTATAATTATGTACTTGTCAATTGTAGTTCCGGCCCCCGGACCCGGCCCTAGCGGGGACTCTATAGCCAGGGAATTTCCAAAACGGTTACATGCAAAGTCCCGCCACCGCCCGGCAATGCGCGGGGCATCGTTTTAACGTACATCCCCGGCTAGTCCCCGCCACTTCCGCCGTAGTCGAGGTAAAAATGATTGGATGATAAGAACTAGCCTATGTTCTGAATCGAAAAAGCGCGCGAGAGTTAAATAGGCCAAGCAGGTGAGCGTGCTTGATGGAAGCACTACGCATGTGTAGGCCTATCACTAATAGCAGATTTCCATGGAAGTTTTGAAAAGTGCAAAAAAAAAAGGAGTGTATTGAGAGATTGATCATAGAAAAAGAAAATAATTGACTGATTGATTGAACTGATTTTTGATAGAATTTAGTTATTCAATATCTAAACAGAAATTAGGCCTAAACTAAGAACATGAATACATAGAAACATATTTCCTTGCCTTGGCTCATGTACTTGAGAGTAAAATAATAATATTACGGACTTTTTGACTGTCAAATATCGCTTACGGAGCAAATTTTAAAAATAATGTATTTCAGCATTACGTTTTTGTGGTATTTATGGAATACAAAAAGAGCAACATTGAACGTTAATTTCTGCGGTGTATATACTGTCACGTGCCGTTATCTGGAACAAAATGGTCTAGGCCAATTTCCACATTGCGTGGTGGTTTTATATGAAATGGTAAAAGGGCAACGTTTGCATACGAATACAAGATATTCCCTTACACTAATTCATCTCATTTCAGTGTTTTCTAAATATCCATATGTTATAAAAAAGATAAGAAACTGCTTTCAAAACCATGTAATCTTTCTCTTTTAGTGGTGATATTGTTTTTGTTTTTGTTTTTTATTTATAATCATAGCTATTTGCGACGTTCAGTACACTAGAGGGTAAGCCAAAATGTTTCGACGTTTCGATTGAGTTGCTTCAATCGTCTTCAAAAGAATAATATCTGTCGATTAATATCGGTAGAAACGTAGAGACATTTTCAACAAATAACACTTCTTTCCAAAACTATCCAGGCCTACGTGGTGTACCGCAAGCATTGAAATATTTTCACTTTGCAATGCAAACCTTTAAACAATTTTTCCTTATTCTGATATGAAACTTAATGGTGATTTGTATAGATTTGGTGAGATTTTATACTTATTTATTTGCAAATAATGTTTAATTTTTAATTTTTAAAGTAAAAAATGTCAATCTTTGATATACATGCACATTTGATATAATAAACCGGAACTCTGATGTTCATAATTTTATACTAAATCATATTATATTTCATTTTTATATGTGGAAGCAAAATATTTCATATAAAATTAAATACAGAGAGTTTCAAAACGGGATAATCGGATATATCTTACCTGCGAAGATCGCAGAAAACGTTCCGAGAAACACAAAGACGAAAATCAACTTACAATCCATAATTGAAAACTGCAGTAATAGAAGGAAAAATAGCAAATCGTTAGATTTGAATAAGAAAAGTAGAAGATTATAATTACTTTGTTAATTATGTTGATGATGACCATGATGATGATTGTACAATTTATGATAATTAAAAGTGGTAGGATGTTAGAAGCACTTCCAAAGTTGGATCTTTTTTCTACCCTGTTTTCTGCGCTTCTACTATGTATGACCGTGGCAAGCAGGCTCTCTCTTGCCCTCCATCCCTATCTCATATGGCTTCTATTAAAATTTCTACCCGTAGAGCTCTTTTTAAATCTTAAGTACATCGTTTAGCTTTAACACATCCATAATAAATAATTAAATAATTTATTAAACGAAAGGTTTGGCTACACTTCCGTGCTCGCAGATACTAATCGCCCTCCCATCTACTACTTCTTTATAAATGCCAGATTAGCCCCAAATATATACTGCCTCATATTATTACTATCCGTCTGCTTCTACCTCATCTCGCCTCGACAAAATCCATACCAAATCGTTTTACCTTATTAATGGCTTTTCACGTTTTTTCTATACAGCCTCTCGGACATTGTCGTCGAATATCAGCACTTTCTCACTTTCTCTTTTTTTCATAATATTTAAAATACTTTGTTTCTACTCCATTCATTGTAATCTCGTTTCAGTTCATTCACTGCCAAAGGTTTTTTTTTAATTAGAATATTTAACTTTTTAAACTTAATTTCAATCGCATAAATCTACTCTCTCGTTCTTATATTTTCCTTGTCTAGATTTGTTATGGGTTTTACCTTTTCTAGGCATCAGATATTATTCTATAATATTACTCGCGTTGCACGATACATACACGAACCACAAACAAATCTTACGTAACGAATCTCGTATTTATTTCGGCCTAATGTCTGCACCATGGTCTTGGCTAATCCTGCACCCCACGAAAAGTGTAATTTTAGTGACGTAAAACATCATTCCTCCATGAACACATTAATACCGTATATCCAATATTCTCAGAACACACAGAAAGTAAGGAGAAGAGTATATCAGACACAACTTTACTTTACACTATAGCGTTCATTTAGTGGACAACAAAGACCAGGCAATGAAAAATAGTACACATAAGCTGAAATTCCACAGCCTTACATAATGATTTGTCAAAGCCCCTTATATAAATATAGACATACCTTGTTAAAGTAGCCAGTCAATAAATCTTCACTCGGAATTTGACAAGAGACACTAGCAAGTTGAACATCAATTAACTGCAATATCAACTTTCAGAAATATACACATATATATAGGCAGTAACTAGAATAATTATACAGGTATTAAACATATTAATTATTTAAAAGTTTTATTGTAGTAACTATATTAATTAAACAAAATATATGATATAAATATAAAACCAGCTGTTCGAGGTCTCGTAAAGTAGAAAGTGTGCAAACTCTTTTAATTCTTTTAGATAATATTCGAAATTTATTAGCTGCTGAACACCGATAGATATTAAAAGCCATTAAATACTTAATATAAATTCATTTATTTACTTACCGATAAAACAAATTTCTGTATCCTATGGGCAAAAAATATACACATTAAATTTTATTAGCTATCTCCATCCACAAAAGTTCGACATTTGACATTTTACCGTGAAAAAGTGACTCTCTGCCCTTATGATTTTAAGTTTTATAGTACACGTGATTATGTGTTTGATTTTAGTTGCTAACTGTAGCGTCAAGTGTACAATACGTTTAGAAATTTATTACGTTTTAGGAAAATATTTTAGTAAATTTTATTAATTATAAATAAACCATTCTATCGGCAAAACATTTTCAAGTGTGCATAAATCTTAATCGAAATGTAGTACATATAGTTTATAAATTATAGTTTTGTCAAAACTTAGTGTCCATTTCCAATTTTTGCAGAGCCGTCGGAATCGAACCGGCCGCACCTGCTTTGGCAGGACCACTTTTTCTCATATATTTATTACTTTAAAAAAAATACGTACCACCTATAAATTATATAAATTTATTAATAAAATTTGCACCACAATGTCATTTGAATGTTATATTTAAATAAATACCCAACATGTGCGTGTTTTTATATTATACTATGTGGATTTCAAGGCCGTGTTATAAATTAGTTAATGTGATTTTTAAACTTTAATGTTGGAAGTAGAGGATCATTACTGTCTCTTATACACATCTAGATGTTTTATTACTTTAAAAAATATTTACCACCTACAAATTATATAAATTTATTAATAAAATTTGCACCACAATGTCATTTGAATGTTATATTTAAATAAATACCCAACATGTGCGTGTTTTTATATTATACTATGTGGATTTCAAGGCCGTGTTATAAATTAGTTAATGTGATTTTTAAACTTTAATGTTGGAAGTAGAGGATCATTATCTCCCCCCCCCTCCCTCAGACCCAACCATGGTGGAGAACAGGTTGTTGTGGTATCTAATCCCCACTGTAATTTGAAATGTTTCATCTAATCGTAAAGGTTGGAATATGGGTAGCGGTTCTGTAGGTTGCCAGCTGCTGTTTTCAGGCATTTAGAGGGGCCATGTTTTCAAACTTTACTAACCTGAGCCCCAAAATATTTGATAATCAATCTATGTAAGCACACTAGGCCAAATTTAATGCTTTATATACAAGAACATATTCAAATCTAAGATCTTAATTATACATATAACTTCTAAGAAACTTTTGCAATTGAAAGAGAACCCTTTTTAGATAAAGGACAATTTCAACCCAATGACACTTCCCCTCCCACACACACAAACACACACACACACACCCACACATTTCAAAGTTGGTGGGACATCATATCAATAAGTCCCCCCTGCCAACTTTTCACCAATTTTCTATAGTTTAAACCTCATTTTTTTAAAAGAACGGTAAGAACAACAACAATTACGAATGACTGTTATAAATTTATCTGTCCACTTTTGTTTTGTTAACTGTGCGGTGTGCATATCCGGACGAAAACCGGGTAAAAATGCCATTTTCTGCTTATTCTGTATCTCAGTAGGCCTAATCCCTTTGATTTTTCGGGTGCGAATGGTTATCATAGGTTCAATTTGTTGTGAAAATAATGTACACTTGGCGTTAACATTTTTGGAAGGGTGTAACCGTATTAGGTTTTTTGAAACGCTAAAGTGCATGATTTCTACAATAAACGGTTTATTCCACTTTGTTCCATTATTAAGACCAGTATAATTTTTATCTGCATAATATATAGATTTCTGTTTTTCCTAATATCAAAACTGTTATTAGACAAACCTAATGTATTTAAATTCTAATTAGTCAATTGAGTTTTGTATAGCCGTTATTAAACAATATGCATCCGATGACATGGATACTTGTAGGTCTATCTATTTCAATTTATATAAGTAGTGGTACCACAATTTTACGATCTCCGATGTTATGTTCAATCGATTCTGCCGATGACGTCATGATATATTATGAATTATTATGATTTGCTAAACAAAGCAAATCAATTTACGTCATAATCCTGGAAAACGATAAAATTGTAGTAGTAAAAAGGATTTGATTTGTGAAAATATTTTGTTATCGTATACACGATAAATGGGTATAGATCGTCCTAGTGTCAAAACTTCTCTTATTTTTTTATTTTCTATATGAACAATTGCTTTTTAGCGTTTAATCGTTATCGTTACAAGTATAAACAGGCCTTAAGGCTGGCGAACGGGGAAAAAGTCCCGGAGCTCAGACATTCTAAAGGATTAGATGACCAATTTGAGAAATTTGTGAGGAGAAAATATGACAAAAATAGCGCTGTATAATTTTTAAAACCAATTATGTTTACAATGAATTACCAACTCAGAATTACTAAAATATAACGTAATAGAAGAAAAAAAATAACAACCTACCTATTTATGCCTAAATGTACTCCTGTCCATTAAATTTGGGGTTTTTTTTTTAACTACAGTGATTGTTGATACTCTTTTTAGTGACTAAAAGTGAAGAAACGGAAACAAACCTCACACACATTTTTGAAGTTTATGATTATGTTTATGCCACTTTTTCTATGTCTAAACAACTTCCTAATGGTAGTCCTAAATCAATACGTTTTGAATCAAATTACTAGAGTCACAACAAAGCTTATTGGTTGTCAGCACATAAATAATACCGCTTTCTGTTTCATTATCTATTATATTGGGAAATCAAAGACATTTCATACGTCGAATCCATTAGTCAGTGTTTTTAAAAGGAAATGTCTTAGCAGATGAGGGTGGTGGCGCAATTATTTGTAGCGGAAGTTGTTGCATAGAGTATAAACTCATCTAGAATAACTTACAATAAAATGGCAATTTCATTTTTTTATATAGTGATGAAAAGAAACACAAACTGCTGAATGAAGAAGATAATGGTTGCCATGAATTTTAAATTCTTTTTATTCTAGACAAACTTTACTCTTTCCCCGAGAGGTTTTGGGGGGAGATAAGCTTCCCCGACGAACAGCGCCAGTGTGGGACAGGGTGACTTAAATCCCCCAACGGACAGGTCAAGCCCCCTTCCCCCCGCGGGACAGAGCTCTTCGGGCAATCAGACCATAAAACATATAAAAATAGACCCACACCAAGCCAACACATATCTGTCACAGTCTGAGAGTGCCATTTCCGGCTATTAAGAGGTTGCTATTTAAAAAAATCTCATTTGGGAGGACAAATCTCTCTTGGCCCCTTCCCCCAGCTCGAGCCTACCAGCTCAAGTCCCCCTGTCGAACAACTTAGCCCCCCAGAAAATACATCCTAGAGCCGCTACTGCCGACGAAGGGATAAACCTCCTTCCCTCACTGGAGCCATTACTAGTCTGTAGCCGGCTTTAGAGCTGTCCAGAATTTACTTTGAATCAGAGGTGGCGCCTACTTCATAAACGTCATGTGAACAAAATGTTTATACGCCTACCAATAGATAGACCTTGTCGCTAAGACCCTTTCCTTTGCTATTTTCGCTAAGGTCCCACAAAACGAGAGCATAAAATTTCGCAAAACAGTGCATTTGTGGGACAACAGTTAGTGCTTATGAGATACACGCGTATTCCTAGCTCTCTTCTGATTGGTCAGTTGTTAAGTTGACTGACACTCCTGGAAAGTCCATTGTATAAATATAGTTACAATGCATCACTGTAATAGTTCATTGCCGATAAATCCAATGTGTTCCTTGGATGATTTTCAATAACTCAAATTTCACTAATAAATAGGGCCTACTTATGAATATAATGTCTAAATTATTGCAGATGTGTAAAATAGAAATATACCTTTGAAAGTTTAAGCCTGCTGTACTCTAGAATCTGCATTAATCGATTTTACACGTGCACCAAAAATATTTTTCAAAATCAGTGTTAAGCTAAAAGAGAATACTAAATAATTCGGTAGGCTTAGACTTATCAACTTTCGTCTTAAGATATTTTATAAAATCCGGTACACATCAAGGCTATTCCACTAAAGTCCAAAGACGTTCTTTATTAGGTGATAATTGGGCAGTACTGCTAAAAAACAACTCACTGCTAGATTGTACTCTAACGACTCTAATGACTGTCACCAACAATCAGCAAAACGGCGTCGCGTCGTCTAACGTTCACAGGGAGTAAAGTTGGATTGGTCAGCCGACGGTCGTAATTTTATAGATGATTTTCTGTTCTAATTCTTTCCTAGAAAAATCAGATCCTTTACATAAACTAACACCAGTAATTTGTATATCGTCAATATTATGATTATGAGAAAAATGAGAAGCTACTGGTAAACCAGGCATACGTAAGCGTATAGATCTAAGGTGCTCCGTAAAACGATCAGCAATGCGACGTTTGGTCTCTCCTATGTATATCAAGTTACATTTATTACAAATTATGCCGTAAATAACATTAGTAGAAATACAACTAAAAGAGTCCGTAATAACATGGTATCCAGAAGGTCTCTTAAGTAGATCAAGTGATACAACGTGTTTACATGTCTTCAGGGGCGGATCCAGAAATGTCCAAAAGGGGGGGGCGGAAGCGGGGGCCGAAAGTTGGGCCGATTGAGACAAAACTGTCGTAGGGGGTCTGGAGTGGGACTAGGACATATGTCGTGTGATGCGTTATTAGTGCAAATATAATAAAATTGTGTGAGTTTGAAATTTGTCCTTTCCCAGTGGAAATAAAACTGAGCTATACTAAACGTGGTACATGCAGTTTTTGAGTTACAAGTTTGTGCTAGAATACATATATATACCTCAACAAAATCACCACCAGAAGGACCCCAC